CGAGTTAAGATGCGGATCAGTCGACGGGAAGACTGTCGACCGCTCCCTTATGCCTCATGAAACGAGGTTTACAGGAGCGGTTGACAAAAGCTTCCCTTGTGGACCAATCTGCATCTTGACTCGCACACTGTACCTACGATCCGCTGAGCCGGCACAGAGCAGCGGCCATTTTTATTTTAATGAAGCCGGGGATATTTAAATCTCTGCTTCATTGACTATGTCGGGTATCCTATTTTACATGCCTCTGTTGGCAGAAGTATGTAATCTAGACATACCCAAGGTCTCCATGAGCTTGGAGTCTGTTACAATTGTCCTCCTTTTGTTCCCCACTCATCTTGAACTACTACAGCCAATGGGACAGCTGTTGATTTCTTTGGCAGCTAGATCAAGCCCTATGCAGGACTGACTTTAGGCCGATTCACCTGATTCCCCTGAATTGGGCCCCACGCCCTAAAGCCAGAGGGCCCCGTGCCCTAAACCTGGAGCTGTGCTGCGCATGCTGCAGGAGGGGGCGTCGGCCCCGGAGGAGGAGCGCGGCGGCTTCTGTGCGCTGCGAGAGGGGGAGTCAGCCCAGGGGTTTGGCTGGAAGGTGGGATTCTGCCCTGTAGCTGGAGATTTAAAGGGGGCTGCGAGTTGTTTGTTAGTGTGTTGGGTTGTGGGTTTTTTTTGCTCAACCAAAATTTGGTTCGAAGTGGGCCCCGCACTTCCTAAAGCCGGCTTTGGCCCCATGGCTTTACTTTCTGGTGGGGTGAATCATTTTGTACAGGAGATGTTGTCAGGATTATCTATTTGATGAAAGAGAATTACCCTGAGGTTTTTTTGCAGTAACTTTATTCCTGTGAACAGCTCCATTTCATTCAATGAAAATTGAGCTAGGTTTGTGTGGTTTGCAATGAAAAAAGTGACTTTTTCAGCAATACAGAAACTTTTCTTTTTGTTTACATTTTTGGGGAAATTTTTCACTGTTCCAGCCAATCCTGAATAGAACTACTTCATTTGTGTGTGGCTCTACCCAAGCTTATAAGCGTTTGCAGGACCTGGGCCCTGTGACTTTAAAGTAAGATGTTCAGCAATTTTGTAAAATGCAGAATGCAACATTTTCAATCAGATCATCTCAGACCAAGACAGATCCCATAAGGCATCATGCTACTACCTAAGCCATTTTTAATTGGCTTGAGTCTCAGCAGCTCTAGGAACCAAGATTCAGGATGCTGGAAGATTAACAGGAGACAAAGTGGAGCTCAGAATCACAAGTTAGTAATCAGAGACAGGAGGCTCAGGGTATCAAGGGTTCAGAGGTCAGGATTCAGAACCACAAATACAACTGGGTTGGGATGCCAGGAAATCAAGCAGCAGGCACAGGAAGTGGGGCGGGGGG